CTTCTTCTATTTGACGGCGGTACATACCGTGCAGAGGTTTGTCCTTCCATGAGGGTTCCTGCTCTTCCTTCCCTTGTTCCTCTGGTTTCTGCTGCCTGAGGTATTCACTAAGCATGTCATCACTCGGGGCCATCTTCCTGATGTATTCATGGATCTTGTTTCATCCTGGATAGTGGCTCTGACACTCACTAATCCTCGGCCTCCTTCCTTCCACTTAGTGTACAGTATCAGTATGCTGGATTTGGGGTGAAACCCACCATGCATTGTAAAGAGCTTCCTTGTCTTGATGTCAGAGGCCTCCATCTCCTCCTTTGACCAGCTTATTATGCCAGCGACATTTATACACACACACACACACACACACACACACACACACGTGAAATCTTTATATATGGATGTTTCATCATGGAGAAAAAAACTGCTGCATAGGAAACCAATATGTCATCAGGTCAAACTGACATAAACTTAACTGTTAGTAACAGTCTCCTCCACTCAGGCTTAGGAATGCACAAAGCTCTGAACATGTGGCCGGTAATGAGCCGAGGAATTAAAGTCCAAGTCTGACACACACCGGATAGAAAACAGTTTTAGTAAATCCATCTCACCAAAGGGAGGAAACTTGAAAACCAAATCAGCATTTGTCATTTCTGCTACGAGACTTGTTTACCTCAGCGGAAAGACACACAAGCTTCTTCTGTCACGTGCACTGATTAAACTGCCCCACACAGCCAGACAGCCGAGATCTCAGACAGTAGGCTCTCACTGTACAACTAGGCCAACTTCAAGAAAAGCATCGTACGATTACAGCCTCAGTTTGAGCTATACCGTTACTGCGGGAGGTGTTTGGGAAGTGTTGCAGGCGAGGCGCACAGGACAGCACCCGCTATCATGAACCAGTTCTGGTGCACTGTGTTTTTCTATCTACAGGTCTCAGGAAGTCAAATTTAGGATGTTAAAAAATATTTAATACAATCTGCTTGGAACTGCATTTAAAGAACAAAACAGGAAAGTTTGATACTTATGAATTACAGCTTTTAAATCAAACCGTTTAAACCTGACAAGTTTTAATCTTTAATGTTCTGTTGCTCTTATTCTTCCACCTGTGAAACACTCTGGTGAAAAACCGCACTTGATAAGGTTCAGAGGACTTTGACTGTCCAAACTCCAACCTCCTAAAATATTTGCTCTTCAGCAACATGTGCTGTTGTAGAAAACCCTTGAAACTTTAGTTTGTGTGTTTTTCTTTCTTGAAATTTGTACGGCCAATAATATGCTGAGGGAATTACAACAAGCTCGGGGGCTTTGCATCACATGCACTGATAGCCCTCAAACATTTCTGCAGCTGTCCTCCATCGACCTTTGATGCTGTGACTTCGTGCCTGTTGTCAATATACTTCATTTTAAACATTTTATAACCAACACTGGCCATCATGAGTTTACCAGCATGCAGATATCACTTTTATTTTCTACATGTAGCTAAGAATCACTGAGTGAATGAGGTGTTACCACAGTTATGACAAAATCAGCTTATACTAATATTGATAAATGAGATATTTAAGTGTTGAGCAAAGTGGTGGACTCACCAGCTGACAGACCAACATTCCTATCCATGCTATTTGTTCCCTTATTTAAGCCGACTCTCTCTCTCTCTCTCTCTCTCTCTCTCTTTCTCTCACACACACACACACACACACACACACACACACGAGAGACAGACAGAACAAGACATTATAGTCAGCGCTGCAGCATCGACTCTTATAATAAAACAAACTTCCATCAAAACCCACTAATGCGTTAACTTCATTTCTGTTTCACAAAGTTCTCAGCAAAATCAGATTAACGTAACACAACTGACACAGAAGACAACTTCAATTTCCAGAGTGTTAACAGATAACACTGGAGAGCAGCCATTTCATTACTGTGGAACTGAGACAAGAGAAGTAGGAGAGGTGGGACTTTACACATCAGAAGTGAGAATAATGGCAGCACGCACGGCTGCAAGTGTCAGAGCAGCAAGACAAACAGCGGTTTATACACACTCTGTTACAAGAAAGCATTTTAAAACAAAAGAACTACTTCCTCTTATTTTCTACTGAATAAAGAATGTGAGGATCATGTCTCTGCAACAGAGAGACAAACACATGTCGCTGATTCACCACAAGGTCAGACTCATTTCCAGACCTCGGGCATGTGCAGCGGCAGCTCTGTGACACTAACAGGACACAGCAAACTCACCATGTGTCATGTGACACAAGTGCAGTGGGTTTTTAAGTTACATTCTTAGTCACTGTTGCAATGAAAACAATGTAGATATTTGCAAATATTATGAAGCCTCTGTGTGCAATGAAGTTTTAGAAACATGTATGATAAGGAGGTTTATGGGATCCCAGTTATACTGATCATCTGGTTCCATAGACTTTTCATGAGTGGAATCTTTTAACCTTTTTATTTTCTTGCAGAAAATAAAAGCAGCTTCAGTTTATTGTTTCTTGGTTACTTTAGGTTACCGATGGGCTGGTTTAGTCACAAGTTGAGTATAGTAATTATCACGTTAGCTCCAGGGTGTTTGCTTAGCTGCTTTAAACCACCCTACTTATAGGTGGCTTGCAGAATTTTCTTGGAAATAAAGCCCTCAACAGCACTACCAGTGCATCTTTAATGTACACATGCTAGGATGAAACCTGCCCAGCAAAAGAGGACGAGTTCAGGACAGATGGTACATTTTACTGACTCAGTGCAAACAGCTGCAATTTGTAGCTGTGAGCTTTTCCTCAGGTCTATTTATTCAATACTTAACTTATTTATTTTATGATATCTTGACTGACACATTCGTGTGTACTGAATTTTAACTGGGAAGGTCATCTAAGTGAGAGGTGATGAATCTGGCATTTATCTATAATACATTTCATTTGTCAGAGAGTACTAATTCATCTGTGTTAACTAAAAACACAGGTGTATGTTTAAAGTCCATTTGTTAGACCTGAGTTCAAGCCCAATAAACAGGCACTGATGTGAACATTGTGTCATAAATCATGATGTGACAACACCTTCTTATCACAACAACAGTACACTGCAAATGGCCGAGCCTTGACAGAGGAAGTGAGTGACTGTACAGATATTCAGACGTCAGACATCAGAGGCCAACGTGCCAGGCAGGGACACATTTAGTTAAGTTTGGACGGGGTGGCCAGGCTGGGGAATGGACTCAGAGAGGGCTGCACATTTGAAATCTGTGTAAAAAGTAAATTAAACCCTTAGTTCTATGAAATAATAAATGATACAATATTAGGAGTTACTAAACAGTTAAATGGACTGTAAATGGACTGTTAGTAAACAGACTCTACTGATGTACCAATTCATCTTTTAACCTTCCAGTTTTAATGGAATGGGATGTAAAAGGATGTTTTTACAGTATGGTTGTTCTGGGCTCGAGCCTGATGTTACTATACTTAGCCATAAAAAGTAACGTCTGGTGCAGCAAAGTTAGGTGACTGGACACTGACCTACAGGGAGCATAGTAACAGCTATCTATACTCACTCATGACAGAGATCTGATACAGATTTCTTTCCTTCTGGTTTTCCTGCGACCCTGCAATGAAATCCCCAAGTCCAATGGTGCACAGTGAGATGAAACAGAAGTAGATGCCGTCCAGGAATGACCAGGATTCTTCCAATGTGCTGAATATAGCAGCTGGAATCATGAAGAAGAACAGCACCGCCAGAACCAGCAGCAGCAGGAAGTGGACGACAGTGGCCGGCCGAGGATCCAAGCCTGAACGCTGCAGGAGGCTGACTGGAGTGAGGACCAGAGGGTACATGAGCCTCTGGACGCAGATGGCTAGCACCAGCATGGTGAAGGGGACTCCAAGCAGGGCGTAGAAGATGGAGAAGGCCTTCCCACCGTCAGACAGAGGAGTGCTGTGTCCGTAACCTGGAGATACAGGAAGAGGCGAGACACCACAGACAAAACACATCAGATGATAAATGGTGATACATTTGGCCACAGGCAGAAAAAAGCAACTGGAATTTTGTGCATTTTTACATATATATTTATTATTGTTATTAGATTTTGTAGTAGTACATCATTGTGTATTTTATCCCCCTGACATTAGGAAAATGTCTTCTAAGATTTACACTAAGTTGTGCACACGCACACACACACACACACACACACACACACACACACACACACACAGATGAGTCTATTTACAGTTTTATCCATTTGGAGTCTGTCTCATCTGAATCAGGATGACTGTAAAGTTAGAGACTTAAGGTGAAACATTTCTTCAAAGTTCCCACAATTTATAGTTTAACCATAAAAACCAGCCTGATCATGAGGACAGTCAGTCAGCAGTGCCCCAGGAGCTGTTCCAGTCACACCAGTGGAAACAGCGGCACATAACTGGCTCCTAATTTGGGCTGCAAATAACATTTCAGTTCAAAAACACATAAACAACAGCTGTGTAGTAACAGGGAACTGAAGCTGGGAGAAGAAAAAGAAAACCCTGATTATCTGTCTCCACCAGACAGGACTGGGACGAGTGACCAGTGACTCCGTGTCATATCACCGTGCTGCACAAGGAGGAGGCGCAGTTTGTACAGAAATAAAACACAGCTGTACCTTTGTCCTGAAACTAAATTTCTAAGATGCTAGTTGTGCTAACACAACATTTATGTGTTTACTTTGTAACCATGTCAAATGTATTTTAAACCCGTTTAAGAGAATGAAAATACCAGATCTCAACAGGACCTTGCTGGATATACAGTATTTTAGTAAATCGGTGTGTCGAAGTAAAGGCTTTAAAACAAAACCACATCCGACAGAATCACTGGCTGGATTTGGGTGATGAGTCATTCGAACCAGAGAAGAGAAGGACTTCACAAAATCAGTCCAACCTGCAGGTTATTATTGATCATTACTGACATTCAAGAGCAGAGATAAACAAAAATGTGGTGAGTCTAAACCTGGAAATTCGTGACTTGTCACACAGAAGTGTGTGGATGTTTTTGTGGACTGAAATGCCACGTGTGGTATGATCCTGCTGGTACCATCAGAACACTGCTGCTGTGTGGACTCATCACTCTCCCAACGCAAAATAAATGTGACTGTGATGGTGATAGCCTCTAACGCCAGTTAAACTGATATTTTACAAAAGTTCTCTGTCAGAACAGGTGCAGGCTCAACAGCTAAACTGCTGTACAATGAGGTTACAGTGACGTCTGCTCAGACGGACGCCACATGATGCTGTTTACTCTCAGCTCTTTTCTCCCGCTTTCCTTTGGCTTGAATTCATTTTTCACTTCACTATTACTGCAATAATTCCACAGGTAAGTTATCATTTACATTTAAATGTATAATTCTTACCAATTCATTTTTGATATTTTGCATTACTGCTGTGACGCTGTAACTCTCTTTAAATCTATATAGAATTTCTAAACATTTAAACTCTCTTTGTTATCTATTATTATTTCAGCTACAATAAAGTGTTATAAACTGTCTGTAGTGATGGTTAAAGCTGCATATGATGTTTACTACATAAAGTAAAACACAATGTTTAAATGTGGTTAAACCTCTCAAGAGTGAAGTCGTGATGATTGATTATTAAAACCAGACTGTTGACTTAATTTGCAAGTAGAACTGTATCACAATACACTTTAGACAAATTAGTCAATTATTCCAACTTATATATCATAAACTGACTGTCCATTCCTAGGAAGTTAACTAGTGTCAGCTAAAAACTGGGCACTAAAATCACTGTCATACGTGGCCAATGTCACAGCTTTTATGACTTATTTCAGACCAAACTCAACACTTCCTCAAAGTACACTGGTTTCTAAAACGTTCTCAGTAGAGCAGCATCTGGCACTATAAGGAGAGAGCAGCCTATAACTACAGGTTGTTATTGTCTGGGAAGATATGGGGTCCTGTCGTGAATTAATAACGTGTGAGGGAGGTCTGCAGGGAACTCTGTTCACAGGTTCATGGTAGTCGATTACCGAGTGAATATCTCCATCTAAAAACCTCAAGCAGTGTCTGAAGCTAGGTTTCAAATGTGCCACCATAGAGTGAGAGGTTAAGCTGTGTTCCTATGTCCAGGGGTTAGCACATCGTGGCCTTCAAACGGGGGGTGCAGTGACGTCCCCAGCTGGACAGGGAAGCCTCAGCTAACTCGCAGCTTTACAGGGGAATGTTCAGACTACTTCCCAGTCTGTTCGTCGTCAACTTCCCCAGTCTGATTTTGCAGAACAACTTTATTGTACACACCTGCACACAGTAATTCTGTGACATTTATGGGTTTTCACTTCTGTTTTTACCTCCACACAAATGTTTAGATCATGAACTGGCAGTTTATTTACTGTTAGAGTGCACAGATACTCTGAACCGGCATAAAAAGTATTGAAACATTTGAGGAAGTGTCTCATAAGGAAATTCCTGCTCTAGTGTGAAAGAATGCACTGCATAAAACAAACATGTTCTGAACACAAAGGCCACTTCTGTTCTGCTTCATGCATGAACCTGTATTTTCTCAGTGCCCACGTGAGTGTGTGGTTGGCAGCAGCCTGTGACTGTTCGCTGGCTTAGCGAGCTCGGCAGCCTGCGGACGAAGCCTGCAGCAGCTTCACTGGGCGGTGCCACCACAGTGATGTAGTTGGTGCTGAACCCTGACAGTGTGTGTCAGATCTGTCTGAACTCTTTTGGAGGAAGTTCAAATCTAGTCAGACATCATAAGGATTGATATTGCATGCCCTGTTTTCTCTGGTTTCTAAATGCTGATCATTAAAATTACACTGCATTTAAGAGAAATACCAGGTCCAATTCACACAGACGTCTAAAGACATTGGTTTGAAACCGTTAATTTGTTTCTCATCATGTACACAACCATAATGTAGTGGAAGGTTTCAAAGCCAAAGTACTTCTATGTTATTCTTACAGTGGATTTTATTTCATTCTACCAGACAAATTATGCACCCAAAGACCAGATTTGAAGTTTTTCTAATAATTTGAGGGCAATCCTTTACCTCTATTTGACTAAATAAAGCAGTTTTCACCACATCATCTCTAACATTTTGATGCCACAGAGAAGTTTTGCTTGTTGATACTGTCATAAAAACTCATTTGTATTTTATGCGTTTCTTCTCTCCAGAAGCTGAACGCAGCATTTGTACTGTATGTGATCTATGTATTTCATGTTTCTAGCTCTTCTTCTTAAACCAGACTTGTATCAAAGCTCCGGTTCAGCCGGCAACCTTCTGACAAGCTTTTTTATACAGTTACAGTTAAGGTTTCACACACGCTGCACCAGTGTGCCCTCACTGGATCACTGTTCTTCCCGTTTCGTCAGAAAATACATAGATGACGTACACTTTTATTGTCCCCTTGGGGAAATTTGACACATCATATAAATATCGTATGATTTGCTATTAAGTAAAGCGGCACTAAAGGCTAAGGAGTACCGCTACAACCATGTACATACACACATACAAATGTTATACATGAATTCAAGTGTCTTTAGGAGAATCAGCTATTGGCAGTTAAACATAAACCATGGCTGCTCAGCTTCAGGCACTGAAATCAATAATCATCAATGTCTGTAAGGCCTTGTTATCCAAAACATCTCCAGCTGTAATCACATCTACAGATCAGGGAGGTCATTCTTTCAAAGCCTGGTCTGTGGTACCGTGCACCTTACTGATGAAATCAACAACACTGCATCGTGAAAAAGTCCTGCAGCAATTCTTCTCTAATTGAGCTTAAACTAGAATGATCTGATGTTTTTTTCTCTCCGATATGGATCTGTTAAATCTGAAATCTCCAGGCTCAACTTGACATCACCCTCTGCATTTTACCATTCAGAGCCACAGAAGACACTAGACAAGTGTTTTTACAGGCTGAGTACTTCTCACAGTGAGTAAACCCAGCTTCATTAGCAAAGGTCAAGGGCCACTTTAAACTCTGAGGCACCGTTTCCTCTGTGGGACTTCCCAGTTTTACATACCATAAGATACAGTAAGCTTTTTTTGTAATAATGAATTTACGCACCAGAATAGTGCACTGTATACTTGCATATGTAAATACCCTGTGACTGTGTGAAGATCCACCAATATTTGGAGCTCTAACCCAAGGTAAGCACTCAGTTACAGCGTGAGATGGATCACTCACCAACATCTGGGACTGTTCATACTGCACCTGGTTAAACGCTCTAAACCAGCACAGTCATTTCTAACAAACATCCACTTATTAGGAAGACGTGGTTAAAACGTGCTTGAGCACTTAATGATGTTCTTGCGTCATGCGTAAAAACGCCACCGTGCCACGTCTCGCCAAAAACCTACTTCGATGTGAACTCACCGATAGTGGTGACCAGAGTGTTGGCGAAGAACATGGAGGATGCCAAGCCCCAGTTCGAAGTGGGGGAGGAGTTGCCGAGGACGGAGACGCCGTACGCATTGGCCTTCATCACTTTGACCAGAAAGTGTTCGAGGGACGTTTGGTTGACGCAGCTCTGGTTCAAAAAGTCCTGTATCAGGGCTTCCATGTCCCGTCGCAGCTGATCCTCCACAGGCCGCTCGATGATGGAGAAAACCAGGCCTCCGAACAGCAGATAGATGAAATAAAACACTACTACACCTGTAAGCAACAGGAACGACTTGTCCACACAAGGCATGGCTTGTTTTATTCATGGATAAACATCAGTAGGGCTGCTGAACGGAGCCGCTGCCGCCGTCTTCCTTTCTCTTCCTCTGTATAAGAACTTTTAGGGGCCGTCCTAATCGAATTTGAACCCCTCCTTGTCAGACACCCTCCTCCCACAGCAGAAACGGCAGGGTGTGTTCAGATCCCGGCGAAGTCTCAAGGTGCGTTATTTAGTGACACAATCAGAAAACCATTTTTTGTTTTTACAGTTCTAAGATAAGTTGGGAAGTGTTTGACAAAGGCGTTCACTATTATTGTAAAGCACTTTGTAATTTTGTTAGTGTTGTTCTGAGGTTCTGACTTGATTGTCTGGTGTCCACTGAGTGGATATGTCCCTCCCCAGAGCTTGAGCACCTGGCACCTCACTGCTCCTCCTTATTTAGGCTGGACCACGTGTTGACAACGTTTACACAGGATGATGACTTTTAGCCATGTTGGTAAATTAGCTTACAGGTCGTTAGAGCAGGAGAAGCATCTAGCCAGGCTGTGCACCAGCGTGACAATATCTGCCCACCAACACTTCAGCAAACTCTCAAGACCTAAGTGTGAAGGTCTTTTGGCAAACACAGGTGTGCTGGTAATCTACTAATCCAACTGTTGGCAAGAACATGATTAAGTGTACTTCCCAAAATGCTGAACTATTCATTATGTCAAGCTGATTAACGCTCAGATCTGACTGAACCTTCCAGCTGTAACCTGGCACTGGTCTTCTTAGACAGAGGTTGCCAGGTGCAATAACACACCCTCACCATGCTCTGTTAGTTTCTGCAGGAAGTAATCGTTGTCTTGTTTGTGCTGTTAATGTAAAAGACTGGCTGACTCAGGCTGTGTAAATAGGGAGGTGAGAGCAGTCTGCTGCATATGGCTCTGTTATAATGGTGCAGTAGGCATGAAGCTGCTCCGACTCTCACAGAGAGCTCACTGAGGACAGATGATAGGGCCACTTCCTACATGCAGATACTGGCTTTTTTTGTTTTGTTTTTATTGATACTTGTTTCTACTACCTGGTGGGACTTAATGTGCCTACTTTGCTGAGCCTAAAGTACAACTTGGAAAATATCTAAAGCCACTGACCAGTTTTCTGCTCAAACAAGGGCAACAGAGGTGTTGTTTGTGTGGTAGAGGTGGAGTGTGGTGTCTCAGTGTCCAGCAGGATCCTAATCCTCCAGTACACAGAGCCCTGAGCTCCAGAATCAAAGCCAAAAAGGAACAGGACACTGAAAGTCTGAACCAGGGGCCAAAAATCAAATGGAAACAAATACTAATCCATAAGTGGTGATTTATGCATCTTGGCGACACCTCGTGGCCCCATCATCAGTGCAAGGAGACTGTAAGTTACATGAAGCACAGCACTAAGTGTTTTAATGTTTATTGAGTATAAATGTGGGATTTGTTGTGCTGTGTCTATTTTAGAGAAACAGCAGTTTTTCTGGATGTGAAGAAGATGAGCTACAGTTAGAGGCCAGTAAACCCGACACTAACAGTCGACTGACGTTTTACATCAGCTACATAAACACAAGTCAGGTCAATTTATTTATAAGCACATTTAAAAACAACAAAGTTGACCCAAAGTGCTACACAGCAATGAAGATAATAAATAATATGAAGGAAGTAAATAAATAACGTACAAGACTTTACACAAGCAATAAAACAGAGCAACATGAAACAGAATGATTTGTCATGAAAAAGACAGCTCACCTTTAAGTGTTGATTGGGTTGGACTTTAGCCTACAAAAACGTAACAACCAGATAAAACTGTTTGTTCGAGTCTATCTTAATACAATCATCTCATGACTTCAAGTCTATCTTAATACAATCATCTCATGACCATGTGTGTGTTGAAAGAGTTATTGGTCACTCAAATCAATCCTCTCCAAACAGCTAAAGGAATCAATACAACCTCAGATAAATGACAAGTAAGCCAGATCCCTTCATCTCAAAAAAAGCCAGATCTAGTTGGGAAGACAAGTCATTTTATTTATTTGATTCCAAAATGTTCTCATTTCAGGCAAAAGGCTCAAATAGCTCATTTTGTGGTGGTTATGGCTTGGCCTGTTTGTCGGACAGTGGAAATCTCCACTTGAACATCACGAGGAAGCACCGCCATCACACACTATCATTTTATTTATGTCTGTTAACAAGGCGACAACTCCTTCCTCATTTGAACAAATCAGAACATATTCATGTTTTTCAGGAATCAGCAGTTTGTACAAATGGCAGACACACACAGAATTGTTTCTGACTTTGAGTCAACAAGAGAAATATACAACACAGAGCAAAATAACTTTCTGATGTGATAATATGTCTAACTCAAATATGTCCAGTGCATCACGGACATGGTCACAACGTGAACAATAGTCTCAACATAATGTTTTGATTGGCAGCTAGATTCAAGTTTTGCCCATGAAGTGGACTCAACTTAAAACAGTGTTGCATTCATATAGTGTACTGAAGAAGAGGCCGACAGGAAGCCAGACAGAAAAAAAAAATTACATGCCAGAATTATGTTTGAGTCCACTTCAATGTGTTTGACAACAAGAGGCGACATCTCCTCCTGAATGTGTCTGTGATGCTGCTGTAACCGTGTAGACAGTGGCACTTTCAGTGGTGTTCCTGTTGGCACTAACTGGAAGACAAACATGTTTCTCTGAGGAACAACTTGAAGTTCATTCCCATCACTGGCTTTTCTGTAGCTAATACACTAGAAAAGTACATGCACCACTTTGCCAAGAAAAGCTTTACTTAGCTCTCCAGTGTGATCACAGCATCTTCTGTTACTTCAATCTTCAATAACAAGAAAGGGAGGAAAGTGAGCCTTAACGTGCACCTGAGTCTGTGAGGTCTCAGACTTACACACTTTATGGAAAACTGAGGAGGGAGAAACTGTTCCAGCAAAGTCTGAATCAAGATCACCAGCCGCTACAAGGGTCAAACCACCATGTTACTGAAGCCACAGGAAACGAGGAGCGCTCGGCCTCTTCCTCTCTAAAAAAACCAAAACATAACCTCTGGGAGGCAGGTTGGAGCTTTAGCTTTAGATCAGATCAGTAACACTGGCATTTTCTGAATCAAATGATTTGATGACAGAAGCCCTTTGCTTCCATGACAGGAGCGCAGAGATAATCTCACTGGATGAATCAGTTAGTAAGTTAAGCTCAGAAGTTTTAATATCGATACTTCCTTTGTATCGAAATGTTTTATTCTTGTTTCATCAAGGCAACTTTAACCTTTTCTATTTCCTGGTTTGGGACACTTACTCTGAAAAACAGGAGAAGGTCAGAACATATCATGAGATTGTGCAGTAAAATTGCTGGCACAAATTTTGTCTCTTATATCATCGCCACAGGCAGTCCTCCCCCCTTTTGCTGAGAATAAACTGCTGCCTTCTGGTCGCAGATGCTCGACCCCAATGCAGGGCAAATAGATTTAAGAACTTTTGTTCCTGCCGCTACTGGAATTTTAAATAGTACCATGCAATGTTCTGCTTTTTGATTCGTGTATTTCAGTGTTTATTGTGTACTGTCGGGGCGGCTGTGGCTCAGGAGGTAGAGATGGTCGTCTCCTAAGTGGAAAGTTAGTGGTTTGATTCCCGGCTTATCCAGTCAAAGTGTCCTTGAGCAAGACACTGTTGCTCCCTGTGATGTCACGGTGTGTGAATGTGAGAGGTGCTGTACAAGTATTGGACCATTTACCATGGGTGAATTAATGTGGCTGTTAAGACAAACTGCCCTTCAGGGATAATTAACTTTAATATAAGAAACATTTTTTGCAAAGAATAACAGAAGAAGTGGAAGAAAATATATCCGCAAAACTTCAAACTAGCCATATTCACCTATATCAGTATAGAGAAGCTAGTCACCCAGCATGATGAGCACCCAACAGCCTGTGTCATGGTTGTAGATGAATGCAGAAATGATGTGAAATTTATTTTAAGTTCATTTCTGACTTTTTCCTTGCAAGTCTATTTTTTGGCTCAACCCATTGAAATTTAACTCAGTGATTTTACTAGTGAGACAAATTCTACCTAAACAGCAGAGAAATATTTCTATTCAAGTACAACTAAAATTGATAACAGATAATATGGCAGAAAGGAAAATATCAAGGTGGACTTGATTCTTGCTCCGACGCAGTGGCGAGCACCTTGTAACTGCGGGTCATCACGCTCCGATCGATTTCTGACAGCCTGCTGGTACTAGGAAACTCAAAATGGGAGGTGATAGTGCACAAAGTGGCACGTTAATGGAAACACTCCCCCAGTATTCATCAACAGGAGCTGGAGGAGACGACTTCTACACATGGAGAGAACTGCTCTGTTTTCGACTAGGTTATGTCCTCTCACCAGTTCAGACTTAAATAAGCAGGGGCGCAAAGAGTCACAGGGTCGGTCAACGTCCGACCTGCAGATAGTCCTCGTGTGGCCCAAGTGTCCGGCCCTGCTGCAGCTCTTTGGCCCATGAATCACAGTCCAACTGGAGCCAGCTGAGTTACTCCATGATGTTTCTGTTGCAGTCGTACGACAGGCGTCGCTTAGCGGCAGCATTCTGAGCGTGCTGATTGGCCAAGGGGAGGCCAGGGGAGAGACGGGGATTGGCTGTCCAGGGAGCAAGTCTGCTTTCCTGCAAAGATAACAAAACAGTGATGCGGGTGTTAAATCCGATGGCTAAACACTGAATCAGCAACACAACCCAGCAGCGTACACCATGAGCGCTGAAGTGATTTGTTGATTCGTTGAGTAGCTGGTTGACAGAAAATTAACTGATAGATACTTTATTTCGCCCTAGGGGAAATTTGGGACAGTTGTGGCTCAGAAGGCAATGCGGTTGTACCCTAACTGGAAGATCGCTGTTTTGATTCCCGTTCTCCCCAGTCCACATCTCAGTGTCCTTGGGCAAGACACTGAACCCCAAGTTGCTCCTGATGGCCAGAGCAGCGCCCTGCAGGGACAGCGCCGCCATCGGTGTGTGTGAGTTGGCGCTGCAGATGGCTGCCGCGGTTCTGTATCCCTTGTGTGTGTGTAACATACTTTGCCAATAAAAGTAATTAAAATTAAAACATTAATTATATAACATGGAGAATGTCATCACCAGGACATCACAGTTACACAAAGAACTTGGTTTAACTGATTAAAAGGAGACCTTCGCCAAACTCAGGATTAATAAGAAGCTAAAGAAAATGAAGGATTCACAGATAAAGTAATACAAATGTAACATTACACACAGTGTTTCTGTCCACGGACATATTAACCAGCTACAGTACAAGCAGCTCTGACTCTCCCACAGAAGCGTCTCCTTTGGCTTAGCTGTTAAAAAAGATCAGCTGTCACTTCCGTGCAAGTGTGTAGGAAGTAATTGTTACAAAAGTCTCAAGATAAAACCACACATCTGTACATTTTGCAGATGCTCTGTTCCTTCTGACATGGTGTGGTTCAGCTGTGGGACCGTTTAGTGAGTGTCCACATGTGTGTTTTGCATATAACAGCGGCTGCACGATTTGAATAGACCTGCAGTTTTCAAGACCAAGTCAAACAACTATCAGTTCATGTTAGGTGATGTTAAGGCTGCATCAACAAATTCAAGCTACACAACACTTAATACCCCGGGTTAATTCATGTGTATGGAGAGTGTGTGTGTAAAGAGAGAGAGCATTTACTGTAAAATGAGTGTTTTCCCTCAAAACGCTGAACAATGAAATACTAGAAACTGCCGCACAGTCATTTCCATGTCAGTCAGTGTGAATGAAGCCAGTGTTTACTCACAGTGTGCGGTCGCTGCGGGTGCAACGTCTTCAGCAGCAGGTTGCGAGACACGTCATTGGCTCTTTTGTAACTCTGGCCAATCATTTTGTTCAAGTCATGGAAACTGTCCAACAGCCTGCAGGATCGAACACAAACACGCAGAGGAAACAGTGGTTTGATGAGGGGGGTTGGCTTGTCTTCATGTTGTTAAAAATTCTGTACTAGACAACTATTTGCCTTAAGAAAACTGAAACCTAAATGGTCAGATCCTCTCAGAGTGAAGACAGTTTAAAGACTTTATTTCACAGCTACAGTACAACATCCATGTCATGTCACTGGCTGGAGTAAAATGTGTTGGTGAGCTGTTTCTTAATTATTTTGTTTATGACTCTAACAATGATGAATCATGGTAAATGCTCCAGTAAACAAGTCTCAGTATTTTAAAGTGCAAGGTATGTCTAAAACAGATTACACAACCACAACTCATGCACAACTCGCAGTTCACCACATTCACCACTTGGTGCCACAGTTTATCTCCACACAACCACCTTGACTCCAACATAGATTTTACAGTAAACATTAAAAGATTATCTTATTTAAAATTCACTGTTTTGGTTCTGATTCTCCACTAAACAACATACATGCTGAATGTTCAATAAATCCAATTAAAAACAATTCATTTGCTGTGACTCTGTGGACTGGCATCTCAAACACTAAAAGCAAAACCCAGAGGGGAAAACTGGTGAACTATTTTATATGTATGAGACACAGGTACATAGATGTACTAGGCAGTAATCATGCATCAGTAATGTTGCATATTGGTGAAACACTTTCACTAGCAGGGGCCTGCTCACTAAGTATGGATGTGATGAAGGGAAGAATGTATGTTTATGTCCTGCTCAGTGGGTCCACGCTGTT